CTTTAGGATCGCAACCCTATTATTCGGAACAGACCTATACTTTAGAAAACCAACCAGATTATTTAAAATATATGGTGGTAGTTTTCCTCTCTAAAACAGTGTTAATAAGTTATTTTATAGCATCGTCGTGGAAACTAGCTTAACAGTTTCTTGTTATCACACTCGGTACAGCCGTATTAAGCATCACTATTTACGTTAATTGCTTAAGCTAACATCACGGGACTCTAAACGCTATTTAATTAGGAGAAAATCATAGAATTTAGCAAATTTATGCTTAAAGGTTGGCAACGAATAATAACCGTCCACCCTGTGATTCTTTTGAAAACTTGAACTAAAAATTGCTAATCTAGTTTGCTTGGCCTAACCAATACTTATGTATCTGCACGTGCTTTCACCCTATAGTTTTGCCACTTTAAATTAGCCGTCTTTAATCCGAATGACAAAAATTTAAAAGAGGTCCACCTTTTCTCTTAGGTGAAGCTGTAGTAAAAATATTAGACCGACAGCTCACGTGAATTTTTGCTTAGGCATGCGAAAACAATTTTCGTCAAAATTGAGAGGTTTTTGTTTAATAACTTTGCATATGTGGTTTATATTTAGATCAAATTCGACCAAATTGTAGGTTATAAAGATCTATCAGCGTGCCAAATTTGCCTTGAAATTTGATGTGAAGTAAGAGTCCAGTAGAGCACATCCACTGAAAATATGTCATAGTTTGAATTGCCACAGTCCGAGATACAGAAAGTAGAAAATCGCTAAATTAATTAATTAACCCCTATTAATTACACATTGTCCTACAGCAGGTTGTTTTGGCCGCACGACACACTACCGTGTGTTAATAAAGTAAAAAGTAAAGTGGTTGCTGCCAGCCGATTTCTTCATTTCGGACGTTGATTAGAGATTAGGGATGATCATTGACAGTCGTGCTGCGACAGGACACCATTATTGCACAGAGGATATCCTGTACTTTAGCCAGTGCTAAACCTCTTTAACACTTAAATCAATCGATCTATTAAAATCTAATGTTTTAGAATGGTCTAGAGCAGTGGTTCTCAACGTGGGCCACGCAATGTTTCTAAGGGGGCCACACGTGAATGACGGAAAATTATGGAGCCACAGTAAATTCCGAGTGAGCCACCGAAACTTCACTGCCCGAATAAAATATTTAAAATTTAAAATTGAATCAAAGGTTTCCTTCTCCCCGTATCCCCCACAGCTCAGAACTCAAGTTACCAGACGCGACTAGTACTTGAGTAACAATCAAAATGTTTGTCTGGTATCTGTAAATGTTTTCGACTGATTCTCAAGAGCAGCAGTGGGATATAATAGCTCAAGCTAGATTCAAACGTGACAAACATTATTTCTGGATAAGTAGTGAAATAGCTAATAAGTTTCCACAGCTCTGGGAGAAGGCAAAGCTGTATTTTCTTTTCCCACATCTTATCTGGTTGAATCTGGTTTTAGTCGGGTGACTTATTTGCTATCAAAAATACGTAACCGCCTTGATGTTTTGAAGAGAGGTGATCTTCGCTTATCTCTGACCACACTGCAACCGGACATTCAAAAACTTTCAGGTGTTCATCATGCCCAAGGATCACACTGAGTAAAATGTTAATGATTAACAGAATATTTTTTACTTATATAAATAAACAGTATGTTAAAGACAAAATATTTAAAAACAATACATTATTGTAAAAATAACATTATAATATTATAAATATATTATAAGTCAACAGTGTGGAAATAAAGTAACTTTTTTTCCTAAGTAACAGCGTTTACGAAGGGTTGGGCCACGGAGATAAATCAAACTCAAAAGGGAGCCACGAGCAAAAAAAGGTTGAGAAACACTGGTCTAGAGATTGTTTCGAATGGTTGTTTTGTTGTTGTTGTTTCTTTAGCTCTATTATCCCCAAATTCCCGGGCATATCAATTTGGTGAACCTGCTGTATGGTTTGTTTTAGTTCATTGCCCCCCCCCCCAAAAAAAGGCTACAGGACAAAACTGTCTGGAATTTGAGACGAAATTTATAGAGATTATGTAATAATGGTTGGAGACGGCTTGAATGGGTAATGAAGAAAAACTTTAATTTTAGTTTAACATAACAGCAAATGTACATATAGTGTCATTTCTACATGGTACAGAGGACACCTGTCTCATTTGTGAGGTACGCATGAAGACTGGAAGACAAAGTAATAATAATCTAAAAATCTATACATCTTTCTGGCTTACGACTCTTACATGAACCAAAAACATGACAATGTCAGTCATTTATGTACAGACCTTCTTTCTCAGATACATTAACCAGTTTGACCATGGAGACATGCAGGTGAGGCTCAAGCTACAATAATCCCTCTCTGATCCATAACTACTTGCTCATATGGAAGCCATCTTTAGCATGAAAGAAATATACAGAGGCATAAATACATCTAACGATGGAGCTCCAGAGTGAAGTGGTATAATAATCCCCACATTGAAGAATCATACAGAAGCCAACCTGTTGAAGTTACTATAGGAACATCAAACTAGTTGGGCAACAGATAACAAACCTGAAATATAGATCATTCTCTTCTTAAAGGCCAAATAAACATCCTACAAAATATTATAGACAAGATCCCACATAAAGTTTTAACTAGAGCATGCCTATCAGACTGAACCACTACTATCATCATCATTAGGTGTATACTGCAGTCGAAGCAAAATATAAACTTGGATCAACATTTCTGAATTTGCAGCTGATACATATGAAGGGTTTTAATCTGGTTAGAGAACTTAGGCAATAATCATAGATTTGGGAGCTGCTTACAATAGAGCCTAGATTTTCATTCTGGATGGCAAAATGTTCAAAATAAATATCATTGTAACATATGTAAAGTGGGTTGTAGCCACTAACTACGAGAAGTTGCACCATGAAGTACTGAAGCTGGAAATCGAATTGGATTACTACCAAGGACTACCACTCTCGCCAGTCCTATTCATCATTTACACCACAGTTCTAGCTCTACTTGACAGTCCAACCAATTACTGTGTCCTAACATTTGCTGATGACATTCTGCTGTGTACCAGAGGCTCTAACAACACTTAAGTTAAAAGCAAGATGTGACTATCCCTTAGAAAAGTAACCAAATAATGCAATGGCAATGTAGTGATCATCAATCCTGCCACAGCTATGTTCTACACACTCAAAAACATATAAAGATAAGCCATCAACGTCCTTTGCAAGTATTGCCATACCTCTGAAATAAGCACTGAGGTATCTGGGACATAACCTTTGACAAACAACTTAGCTTCACCAACTACATTAATACCATGTTAACAATAGATGGCAAAGGTATAAATACACTGAAAGCTGCAGTTGGAAATTGAGCTGAAGAATATCATTTGCTTATGCTGCACCAAAGTCTTATCCACTCAATCCTGAATTATGCACTGCTAATGACCAATATTAGTGATACACAGCTATATAAGATTGAAAATATAAAACATCTCTTTAAGAATTCTCATTGGATGTACTACAATCACACCCAACAAAACCCTATTTACATCTCACAGGCCACAGCAGCAGCACTTAAAAGCAAATTTCTTCTCCAGAGGCTTGCAGTGTAAAGTCCATGCATTCCATCATTTAGCAATGTAACTTTTCAATTCGGGTAATATAGCTCAAAAATGATGACGCAGACAACAGCCAAACAGGAGATTGTCTAAAAGGTGCCTTATAAGACAGTCGTGAGTAAACACCATTGAAATACTTCATCACATCCAGATCACCGATTTTCCCCATATGGAATAAACATCTAATGCTACTGGGATCTGTAGAAATAATCCTAGACAAAAAAATGAAGAAACTTGGCTTAGGTTATATAGGAAATATACATCTCAGGATCTATTACTCATATCTTTGTTTAACGCAAAGTGGAATTTATTACGAGACATTTCTATTAGCTAGATAGAATGCATCTTTATTGGTTCAATATGTCGCTATTACAGCTTCGTCAAGTTCACTCACCTTGTAGGATATCGATAGCTCCTGACGAAGCTGTAAAAGCAAAATAATTGAGCTAATAAAGATATATTCTGGTGATATAGGTCGTTATTTTATTTAAGTTAATTGATATGCCAATATCTGTTTAAAGACAATGGTTAACAAATATCTAGCATTATAGCCATAGATGGTTCCTACAAGATTGAGAGAGATACGGTTGGTCATTCATAGTCTTGTGAAACAAGAAAAGCTGGTGGAGTATTCAGGTTTTCCACAAGTAGCGAAAGGATGGAATTGGAAGTCATATAACACGCCCTCCTCTGTAATACTGAAAGCAACGAAGCATAAATAGACGACAAGGTAACAAATATAATATTTACAACTGACTTGCAAGCAATAGTGACCAAAATTAAGAGTGGTTGTGTCCTGATAGGTGCAGAAAGCAAAGCAGCTACATGTAAGACCATCACTTGGATGTATGTGCCAGAACATGCAAAGATAAGGATCAATGAGGGAATTGACAAAAATGCGTAGGAAGCTTTTTTATCCAATCCAGCACAACTTTACAATAATGAAGTAAAAGCAGCAAGCATAGACGCTGGAAAAGAAAATAATATATGGTCTAGCTATGAAAAGCAAAAGATGAGGTATCGCTAAGACTATACACACCCAGACAACCACTAGTTACATTAGCACAAGAACTTTTCTCTCGCTTTGGCAAGACAACCGGTTTCTACATGATGTGTCAGTGCTGAAGAGTGTAACCCCCTGGGATTGCACTCAGTACTCAACTGGACATATTATTTTACTTACAACAGCAATGAAGGGCTAATAATCTTTTTTTTTTGACACTATGCTTCAAAGATATTAAAGGGTATTAAGCCTAAAGTTAAGTAAACTTAACAGCAATAATTATACTACACATATAAATATATATAAACGACCAATAGTTAACACTGCATGAAGAACTAATTGGTAATTAACAATTAGGTGAACATACACTGATATAAGCCATCAAACTATAATTCCAATAAACATTTTATCCCCAGAAAATTACCGTCAATACTTAAAAGTATTGATTGCTACCAAGCAATGCTTTCGGAATTGAATTTTGAAAAAGAAACTATAAAATAAAGTATTTAAATATGAAACATTTATGTTCCTATCATGTGTATAAGATGTGTTTTTATCAAACCACAGAACTGTAAACTCATCTATAATTACTTTGTAACAGAATATTTTACTTGATGGTTGTTTTAAAGTACAAATACTTATGTGAAAGTGCAGTTTAATTAACTACAGCAGAATACTTCTATGATCTCACTTCATAACTTGCCTGGAGGATTTTGCTAGATTTATTATAGAGATATTTATTGTTACATTAAGGTCAAAACCTTGTCGAAACGTTGTACATTTGCTGTTATGTTAAACTTATATTAAAGTTTTTCTTCATTACCCATTTAAGCCGCCTCCAGCCATTATTAATCTCAAAGTGGGTTCCTCGTCATCTAATTTGAAATATAGCTGTAATATATATGTTTCTATTAAAACTCCCTCCAAAAGAATTAACATAAAATATTCCTACTTAAATATTTGCATCCAATTTCTTCCCATTCTGCCGAATTTTATATCCTTAACATTGACCTTTAATCCTGTGATTAACGCCCCCCCCCCCCGATGGTTCTGATGTAAGTCTGAGGTCATATAGCATTAAACTTCGAGTTGTATACCCTCGGTGAGAATAGTACAGATAGTCTATTGCGTAGCTTTGCGCTTAGTAACAAATAAAGAAATAAACACACAATCGTATAATTAAAGCTTTGGCCCTGCATGGCCAGGTGGATAAGGAGCTCGGCTCGCAATCTGAGGGTCGTGGG